ATCCAACCCATTTGGCTGTTGGCATGTGCCAGAGAAGCCTGGCCAAGTCATTGGCTTGGATTTCATGGGACCTTTTCCTGAGAAGAAAGTGGGGAAAAAGCGATTTGTTCTTGTCATCGTGGACATGCTGACTAGACGAGCGGGGGCGTGGGCTGTCACGGGTGCAAGGGGAACGGACATTGTGCAGGGGTTGAAGAAATGGGCACAAACACAAGGGACGCCTTCAGTCTTGTGTTCTGACGTCTGCAAAGCCACGCAATCCAAGGAGTTGCAAGGGTGGTGTGCACAGGAGGGAGTGACGCAGGAGTTCTCACCTCCTTACCATCACGCGTCCATTGGGTTTGTAGAGCGGTTCAATCAGACACTTCTGAACCGTTTGAGGCGCATGTGGGCAGAGGAACCCAAGTATTTCGCCAAGACTGTTGAGCAGGCCGTAGCGATCTATAACAACACACCTTTGTCTTCGCCAGAAGAAAACAGGAAGACTCGCACCTCTTTCGTGTTTGGGTCGCCAAACCAATTGTGGAACAGTTCAAAGACCGTGTGGAGCAGGCTACATGAGTACGCGCGTCAACAGCGCGCGAAGGCAAACCACAGGACCAGGGGACGGCGTATCCAACGGACATTTAGAGCGGGGGATCAGGTGTGGTTGTGGAATACAAAAGTCGAAACACTCAAGGACAAGCTCGAGCCATGGTGGAAGGGTCCGGGGCGGTTGATTCGCCCTATAACGAATGCGGTTTGGGAAGTGCGGGGGCCAGAAGGAAAAGTATGGATTAGACACACAGATATGTTAAGGCCGTATCGGGATGCAATTTGAAAAGGGATGAGTTTCTGGCGGGTGTGTATTTGGCGCAGGGAAGCGTGTGAGGGCAAGTGAACGGTTAATATATAATACATGATATATGGTGTGTTTTTGATGGTGGAAAGTAAATGTGGTGGACATGGTGTTATGGTGAAAATACATGGGGACAATGGAGATGGGGAATTATTGCGGTGATTGGTATTTAGTCAATACACTCATTCTGTAATGCATCCGGCTACGGTTTTGCTTCCCGTGCCTGGGAGCGACCGTGTGCGAGTGTGTGCGAAAGAGACCGGTCAACTCGATACTTATTATTATTATTATTATTATTATTATTATTATTATTATATTATATTATTATTATTATTATTATATATTATTATTTCCTCAATTACATAGCGTTCACTAAACCCAACACCGCTCCCAGCAACATAAACATGATGTCAACAGCCTGTGCCACCTTTCGGCGATGTAGGTCTGAAGCAAAGTAAAGAGACGTCCATGTAGAGAGAGGTTCATGTACAGAGGTGGCTGCTGGCTGGGAGCAATGGAGTCATCAGGATGTAGTGTCCAGTGTCAGAATGTAGCGTCAGCAGGAATGTGTCTGATTTCCCAATATACCCAAAACCACAACGATGGTGATGCGCAGCATTTGCTGCAGGGAATTAAAAAATGAGTGATGATAATGATGACGATGAAATGAATGTCATTCACTTAATTACATTAATTCAGTTAAGTACATTAATCCATTGAATTAATGATGGTGATGACAATGATGAAGGAAAAACGAGGATACGCACTAATGGCACATGCAACAGCTACTGCCAAGCGCCCACCGGGCACGATTCATGGATCCGCCTCCCCCGCCACAACCTCTCCACACTGTATTCAGAACTCCAAGCGCATGCAAAGATCATATCACCCCATACATTACATATCTGCTGCATGGACACACCGAGTATATCGATCAGCCAGCATGTTGTGACTCATATATCGAATATATCGATCAGCCCAGCATCCCCGCATCCTTGCCGCTGTATATTCAACCCTTCCGCACAGCACCGCAACGGTTGGCCTTATTTCTGCTGAGAAAATAATAACGAAACGCTCTTTCATTTAAATTTTGAGAAACAAAGCAGAAACTTAAAATACAACGCTCTGGAAAAAATGCGGAGCAGAAGGCGTAACGTTAAAAATTTTTGATGCGGAAGGGTTGAATATAGTACGAGGTACCCTTCCGCCCAAATCTGCCAGGGCGGCGACATGGCGGCCGTCTCAGGGCCCCTGCCGGGCGCCCCCGCCCTCAACCCAGTCTGGCTGGCGCACAGCCGCCTGCGGCGCAGGAAGTTCGACGACTGCATCGCCTCCTGCACCAAGCTGTTGGAGGCCAACCCGTGTGACCAGGTCAGCTGCGGCGCCACGCCGCCCCTCGCCCCGCCTCCCACCACGCGGGGCCCCTGAGTGCATGTCCTTTTGCCGCTTGTGTTGCTCGCGCTGTGCAGGCTGGCTATTTACGGCGCAAACACGGCCTCCATGCACGCATTCTTTCTAAGCTTTTTTGCGTAGGAAAAAAGTAAGTGCAAATACAGTTCAAGCACTTCAGAGTATTAGCTTGCAGAAGCTAACCATTACTCGTACCTCATTATTAGCTACGGTTGCAGCTAACAGTTGACTGTAAGTTGCCTACAGGTGAACTAAGTACACTCTGTGTTTCACGCCGTTGACAGCAGGCCTGGTGTTGTGCGCTCGCCGTTTCCCACCAGGGGCCTCTGCATCATCTCTCCGCAGCATGGGAAGAGTGCCACAGACACTTGCCTGACGGGAGGTGCCCTTTGCATTCATTGTTTGTGCTCTTGGAGTGTTTAACCCCACCGGGAGCAGGCCTTGCCAGGAAACACGCATATCAATATGTATTTTTAATATAAATTGATCGGGAAGTGCCGCTCAGTACTGAGCCTTGTGCCGAAAATTCGAGGGGGAACAACGAGTACGTGGAAGCAGAGCTGAGTGGTGAATGTTGCGCAGAAATTTCCGGGGGGGAACAAACAATTCCTTCGATGAAAATACTCCATAAATTGTGCTACATTAGATTGCAGTACATTAAATGAAAATGCTACATTCAAATATGTAGTACTAAGATTAAATGAATGCCTTTGCGCGCAGGCGGTGTGGTACCTCAAGTGTAGGGCGCTGACGCTCAAGAACTGGATCGACGACACCGAAGTGGAAGAGGAGGTGACCAAATTCGAGCAAAATGATAATGCTTTCGTTCGTCTAAGAAACGAAATTACATTGAAAAAGAAGAAGCGGCCATGGAAGCTACAGTAGAGCAACCAAATTTAGTGAAATGTGACAGAAATGAAATTGAATTAAATGGGAAGAAATGAATGTATATGAGCGACGGCATTGCGATCATTAATGGTGTCCAGGCGCTCCCAGAACCCTTCTGAAAAGCTATCATTGCATTTGCAACTTTCAGGCGGAGGTCACTAGCTTAAAATCTCAAAAATGTTTTCAATTCTCTTGAAGCAGTTGTCTTTAGAATAGGCTCAATGTTGGGGAAATGTGGTTACCACATATCCTGTACAGATCCTGCACCGTGCAGGATCTGGCGCATCGATGTATCATAGGATATAGGGCAGAATTCTGCGACTGATATCTGGAAGGGCTTGAACGAAATTGGCGAAATTTGCTTCAACGTATCGTCGAAGAATCTGGGTCACGCGACCGCTGTGCGCAAAGCGACAAGTCGGCTGTCGCCCCAACAAGCTCCACAAGAGCTTTGCAGTGCAAAATCTACAGTGCACATGTGTCTTATTTACAGGGGTTGCAGTACATAGTATGTCAGCGCTTAATCATGCATGCATGCAAGAATCTCGTATACACAGATGTATCTAATCCCGTATTGCATATCTACACTCTCTGTATGCCCCCTGTAAGAGAGATAGTTTGAAACACGTATGTAAAACCCATTCCTGTGTGCATATAAATCTGATCGAGGTCACAAGTGCTCACTTCTTTCAGCAATGGATCCAGCCATTTTGGCCTGGTAACCTTTCTGTGGATTTCTTGTCCCCGATGTAGATAAGAGGTGCTTGGCGAACAAATTGTACTTATTCTTGAGCAATTTCTTCAAAGAAATCGGTATTATAAGGCTTAGAGAACCAATATTCACATTTTGAACCTCTCTTGTGATACAAGGTCGCCCTTGTATTGAAATTTGTCTCTCAAATAGACGAAATTAATTCTGTACGGTGGAAATAGTTGGTGATTTAATGCATTAATGACGTTGCCGTTTTGAAATTGTTTACCCTCGCCCTGGAGGGCATCGCAGATCTTCTGCTGGATGAAAACTCAATGGCACAAGTACCGCGCCCAGGGACATCGCTGGCGAGACCCATGACGTCTTCCGCGGTGAGCATCGTACTACTGGTACACATCAGCGTGTATGCGTAAATGCACATCAATGCAGATCAGTACATATCAATTGAGTTAATTTGCGCAAGTGTATTTGTATGCACAGCAGTGCGCAATGCGTTGTTGTGATTTAAGTATCTATAATTATAGCGCACTAATTATCATTCAAAATAATCGATATAAGAGCTATGCATAATTTCAATGGCGCAGATGTGCTTATTAATGCAGATTAACGCAGTAATTGCTCACTTCAGGCACACACCACATCAGGGCATGCTTGTTGCGTCATGAAATATTTAGTGCTTAAATGCAGCAAATTAAAATAATAGTTATCTAAACTCCCATTTATAAATCAAAATTAAACCAGCTTGTTTTTCTGGCCAAATACTGCCCCAGGTCTTGGATGGCAACCGCCGTGGGACGGATGAAGTTGAAATTGAAATGCATCGTCACGATATTCTGGTTAAAGTACGCCAAAGCACTTGGCTGTGCCATTTCCCCTCAAAAGCTGTTCTGTTCAACCAACACTTGCTCCGGTCTCGCAATCTCAATTCACCAAAGCTTATTTGTAAAATTATATGAAGGAAGAAACTATTTCCAAAAAAACTCTGGAATTCGTGTGAACTGTCGGATCCAGGGAGGCCCCAGTCAGTCCGTCCGGCCCATGACCGGAGGCGGCCGGCCTCTGACCGGATTCGCCCGCCCCGGAACCGGCAGTCGGATGGGAGGCGCCGGCATGCCGGGCAGCCGGGGAGCCACGCCCTCCCTGCAACAGGCCATGAAAGGGGCGCGCCCGGGTACCACGCGACCTCTCACATCCTCGGGAAGGTAGGCCGCCATGGGAAATTTTGTGTTTCGTATAAAACGCCTTTTAGGACACTTTAGTACAAGCAAGTACTGTAAATTACTGAGCCTTATACCACTTTCCACAAGTACAGAGTTTCAACGCACGGATCTGCCAGAAGGAGCAAGCTATATCGCAAATTTTTTACATACGATTTTCACACTTTGTTCACGTATTTTTTCATACATACCATTCCATACAAGCCATTTCATACTTTTCACGTGTTAAGTTGCGCATACACAACACAAATGCATTTAGATGTATGCATGAATGCTGGAATCCATCCATTATTCTCTAGGAAAAACAAAGCCAAATCACACATGTTCAAACGTGTGCAAAGTTTTGGGTGAGGGTTATTTTCGCGTCTTTAGCGTGCAGAACACTGACGAAATTCATACAAATGTGTTCGCAAAAAGTGCTATTTGGTCCTTTTCTGCAGTGGTTGGTGACAACAATACTGTCGCACTCAATTACCATGTTCTCATAACGAATGAATAAGAGTATTGGTAGCAAGATTGCGTGCGAGCTGCAGCGCATGTCTAATAGAACAATTACTGTAGTTTTCAGCGCATTCAAATGCCATTAATGTATAAATATTTCTACCAACTTTTCGTGCTCGTGAAGAGCATCGGCACGGTCACATGCGCGCTCTTGAGTTTTCGCAAGCATCCGCTCGCACCAGGAGCGCATTCAACACGCTCTCGCAAAGGAACAGCACAGCGCGCAATGCCGCCACTAGACAATTCGTTTGCCGATGCCAACTGCGACGCCAGTTGATACTCGTTGATGCCATCGACGCTATTGCAATCCCATCGCAATCGCCGTGATGACGGCGCTCAGCGACAGTATGCCATCTCAGTCGGCACTGGGAAATCGGTGATGTCTGCTGGGTGGCCTAGCAGCCTCCATATTTCCTCAAGATGCATCATCTGGCAGATTCCTTCGGATTCTAATACTTCTCGTATTGTAATTCTTCTCATACTCTTAATACTTCTAATACATCCAATACTTCTAACACTTTGTAGTACTGCTAATAATTCTAACACTGGAAGTGCTTTATTTTCCTTAAGATGTTCTGTCTTGCAGATTCGTTCGGCTGGGCACTGCGTCTATGCGGTCAGAAGCGGGAGGCCCGTTCATAAATGTCCACAGGCTGGACCTCCGCAAATACGCGTCCAGGCCGCTGCTGGCGCGCGCTCTGTGCGACTACATTCTCTATCATGACCACAACCCCAGGAAAGCGCTTGAACTGTGCTCCCACGCGACCAAAATTGCGGGTAGGAACTCCGCACTGCGCAATTAAAAAATCCGCCAAAATACACGATTTCCAAACGTGTAAATTCCATGTAAAACCGTGCCAAAGCCAGCAAAATCGTGCACACTCCCCCAATTGTTACTACACGGTTTGATACCATTTTTATACAGTAAATAGAAGATTTAGCACGCATTTTACACGGTTTTCAAGAATTTACACGATTTGTGTGGTACACCATTTTCGAAACCGTTTATTTTGACTTAGTTTTTAACGGTGCTGCGGAGCCTTGCATCCCGGAGTACCGAGGTCGCGAATGCAGGATTCAAGACACATTCATGTGTGTAAGCTTCCCCCGGGAGCTTTGAAAGCAGCGATTCCTGCATAGCAACATTGAAGCAATCCTCAGCAAGGGCCCCTCATCGGCACTCAAGCTGCCTCAATGTTTCAACACCCCCACTCATACAATCCAGCTCTTTGTAACATACGCTACCGTAAATAAAATGATAATGTTTACAAACATATTACAATTCAAATCTTTGGTGTATGGTAGTAAAGGTGTCGTGGTCGAAATTAGGCAATAACACCGTTCAGAACAAATCGGTGCAAGAGAGGACCGTAAAGTACTGAGCCGTACGTAAGTTGCCCCCAAGACAGCGTTAATATGCATCAGCGAGCTTTGAAGCAATGCCGTTTATCAACGCATCAAAACTCGTCGTCAGCGCAACGACGAACTCCGTTTTAGCGACGGTATCGAAACAAAGCCGATGTCAACAAAGGCACGAAATCGGTTTAAGTACTTTGAGACTTTCGTAAGGTCCCAGATGCCTGACTGCCACCGCCCCGCCGTCAGGGTACACTGACTGGTGGTGGAAGGCGCGCCTGGGGAAGTGCTACTATCAGCTGGGCATGCTGCGCGAATCCGAGAGCCAGTTCCAGAGCTCCCTGAAGCACCAGGACGCGGTCGTCACCGTCATGGAGCTGTGCAAGGTGCAAGCCCCCTGCATTGCATTCGCTAATGTACAATTGGTAAGCAACTAACTTTCGTGCAAAATGTCGGTAAGGGGGTCATGGAAAACAACAGAACATGCATCCTCTTCTCTTTTTATGCACTCAGAAATGGCAATGTTGCGCACAAATTTCCTTGTTTTTTGACGTCCAACCTTGAGCACAACCGTTTTGCCCAAAAAAACACATAATTGTGATGTTGCGCACAATGCAGCCTTTCGGACCTTACCGACATTTTGCACGAAAGGCTGCTTAGCGCAGACATTGCGTCTTCTTGGCGATGGCGCTTGCAGTGCTGACCAAAACCTGTTGGCGGGGACGCTGCAAGCAGCACCAACGGCGGAAATCATTTCGCTTCTGTGTACCCACCCTGTGGGGTACGTCCTCAAACGCACCCATGACATGTGCTATCACCCCTTGAATGGACAACTTCCCCATACGGTGAAATATTACGCCTTTACATATCGCAACGCAGTAAAGCTTGGCCATTCTTTCGGCGAAATTTAATATCAGTTTTGCGGAGCAACATAAGAAAACAAATACTCTCCGAAAAGGAAAATGCAAACCGACAATCGCAAGTGTAAGATGCTTTGATGCGCAGCATACTACCATTAGAAAAAAGGGCCAAATAGCACGTGTTCAAACGTGTACAAAGTTTACGGGTTTGTGTTGTTTTTGTGTTCTCAGCGTGCAGAGCTTTGATGAAACTTGTTTTATGTGTATTTGCAAAAGTGTTATTTGGCCCCTTTTTTCGTAGTGTACGGTATGTGAGTGGCACTCGAAACACAACTGAAATGGACCGATAAATTTATAAGGATGTGATGCGATTGTCAAGGTATACCTGCGCATGGACCAGCCCGGCACCGCAATGGAGACCTACACCGCACACATGAAAAAACATCCGGGAGATGTGTCCCTGCTCCTCGGAGCGGCACGCGTAAAGGAAGCACTAAACGACGCCCAGGGAGCGTTCCTGCTGTACAAGGACGTCCTCAAACAGGTGGGTTGGGGTGCGGTAGGGCGAGAGTGCGTGAATTGCTGTGGCTGCGCCCAGCCTGAGTGCGCCGCCGCAGCGCCTTTAGATGCTTTGAGCAAATATTCTGAGCGTTTGATAAATTTTAAGGCGCGTAATAGCTAGCAGAAAATCGGCCGAAGCAGACAATCCTGAAAAGCGCGTATAGCGTTGTGCTTGTGAACATCGCTCAAACTCGTGTTCCAGAATATCCGATTTTCAACGATTTTTATGCGATTGTGCGCTATTGTTCGCAGTGTAGAATGTCGAATTTCTGCCAGTGCATAAGCGTCTTTTCTCTTATCCGAACGCGCTCGCAACTCCAAATGCGATTCGAGCTCGTGCCGTAGTTGGGGCTGCAAGAAACCGTCGGATGCATGCTTGACGCTTTGCTGCAATCACGTCACTGCGGTGCGTTCCCGCAACAGCGCGTTTTGTTGCAATGAGGCGACGAAAGGAATACGTCTCAAAAGAGTTATTGGGTGGCATGCTCATGGCTGAGACACGACGCTGAGTATGCTGAATTAGTTCAACGTTTGCAGCAATCAAGACAGACGCTCCATTGTGTATTTTGTCTGACAGATTTGTCACCTAATCAACCGGTGGATTGGTTGATTGATTAGTTATGTGATTGCTTGGTGCTTGCTTTATTGGTTGAGTGAGTGATCGATCACCTGGTTCATCGAATTATGGAGCATTTAGTCATCAAAAATGACTGACTGCTGCAAGCCTATTATACATTGGTTGTCCTCAGTGGCTGAGAAAAAGGGGCACAAGCATTCTGTACATACCACGGATGGGGCATGAGTTGTGAATCCAAAATCTTTGTGTAGATCCAGACTTGCTATTTACGGCATCAACACTTTTTCTATGGATGTTCACGTGTATTTGCGTGTATTTACGTGTAATAGTTTTCGCGCGTTTGCGCACAGATACACGCAAAAATGCATGAAAATGGTTTTACGCACAAATATCCGTGAAAGTGGGCAAAAGTGGGAGATGTGAACTTAAACACCATATATACAGACTCAAGGGATCCGGGTAAGGGCAGCTAGACGCGCTGAAGTGCATGGAAACATGCATAAAACGGTATTTTTCTCGGCGGCGTTGCTGGCATTGCTGAAAGTGAGGTGTGCGCTGTGTTGCCGGCGCTGGAGAGAGTGGAGTATTGACCATTGATTATACAGAGACATGAGATATCATCATGTAATCTGGTCGTGACGAAGAGCCTAAATATGAGTAAAAATGGCCATAAGAATGGCAGTAAAAATGGCCGTTTCTCTACTCACGCGCTTTTACGCGTAGGAATGTAACGTGAAAATAAAGCCGTAGACTTAAATAGCAAGCCAGTATAAAAGGGATCCCAATTCAATGGAAAAACCCCTGACTGCCCCAAGCAGGAGGGCTCCAACGTGGAGGCCATCGCCTGCCTGGCCAGCTACAACTTCTACACCGACCAGCCGGAGCTGGCCCTCCGCTTCTACCGCCGCCTGCTCCAGATGGGCGTTAACAACGCCGAGCTGTGGAACAACCTCGGCCTGTGCTGCTTCCACGCCTCGCAGTACGACATGGCCCTGAGCTGCTTTTCGAACGCCATGTGCGTGGCGTCCAACGACGCGCTGGCGGACGTGTGGTTCAACGTGGGGCACGTGGCGGTTGGGATTGGGGACCTTGGCATGGCCCTCCAAGCATTCAAGGTGGCGGTGTCCGTGGACAGCTCCCACGCGGAGGCCCTCAACAACCTGGGCGTGCTGGAGTGCAGGTGGAATTGGAAATTCAACACAATCTTAGCGGAATTTAATTGGGATATTTAGGTCGCATGATTCGTTTCGGAAACTGAACTTCACCTGAAAAATTTAGTTTGCATGTCTAATTGGTGAAATTTATTCCTGGCCCAGCATACTGAGTTCAGAGTGCGTTAATTAGATGCATAAGAATCGCTATTAAAGAATCGCACTGTCAATTTCGGTTGACGGGAATCACGTATCGGCAATGGATATGTTATTAATATGGATATTATATTATACGTTATTACTGTGAAATATATTGCATTATCTGTTATTGATATGAATATCATTGAAGCGTTGTCAGGGGGCGAGGCATCTCATCCTTGGACGCGACTGATTGGGAAGCTTTAGCCATGCATGTTTTGCGCCGAAGAGGCTTTTCAAGTTCAATTGCACAGTGATAGGCACTATTACCGAGTTTCATGCTGATGTGGTAGTATTTCACATCCATCAAATGATGCCTGTATGAGCTCCCGTTAGAGTGTCAGATCATATCATACATCACTACAATATCATGTGTCAATAATTAATACAAGTATCATGCGAATTGCTCTGGGTATTATTCTACAGTCATACGGTCCGACTTTCGCATCTGGCGGGAACACGCACCCCGTTGCAGGCAAGGTGGGGAATCACAGACAGTGTATTTTCTGAGGCGAATGCATCCATTCCCACCAATGAATTCAATTTACAGAGCCCAAAATTTTTGCATTTGTTGACTATTTATTGTGTTATTTGTAAATTAATTTCCTTTGTACGCAATGAAGCAGTTTGTTTCATCAAACAGTATGTTCCAGTTGAATGAAACAATTTTGTTGAGAGGCCGCATTGGTATCATGTGCTGCTAAATTTTCCTTGAAAGTCGGCTCACTATCGCAAATGCATCAGATAAAATGACTTGAATTTTCGACTGCAGGAGCGGCGACGTCCGGGCGGGACGCGCCAGCTTCAGCCAGGCGCAGAGGCTGTCAGACCACCTCTTCGAGGCCCACTTCAATGGCGCCGTGTCCGCGTTCAGAGCGGGTGACCTCCAGGAGAGCTACGACATGGTCAGCCGCGCGGCCGAGGTCTATCCCGACCACCCGGACTGCAAGGATCTGCTGAAGCAGCTGAGGACTCGCCTGATGCTGCTGTAGCTCCCGATCGCAAGCAAAAAAATCGGACCGAAACACCAGTAGAAATCGGCCAAAGTACACGGTCTCGAACCGTGCAAAAATCGTGCAAAACCGTTCAGAACAGTGTCAACATCGGGGCCGGCTAAATGGGAACTAAGGCCGCGGCGGCGCTTGCGGCAGAGCTCCATCATCAAATCCATCCATTGTATTTGTCATGCAATGACAAAACACAGCCCGTGCACCTGATAGACGACGATGGGCGTGAAAACCAAGCAGCGCTTTAAGGTCACAGGCAACCACTGCCGATTGGACTCAGTTTCCATCTGGGTCCAAATCGACTTGAATGGGGATCACAGAGCATATCTGAATGTCAAACCGGGTTAAAGCGATTTGTGGGCGTTTGGGTCAAGCATATGGTAAGCAAGATTTGTAGTGTTTGGGTTTCAGCACATAGCGTATTTTAGGTCAGATCGTTCTCGGCTCCATGTATCTTCAGTGGATGTCTGGCTATGCAGCGGTCTTGAAGGGGCCCCTCGAATTGTAGGGTTGTGTGCGGACAGCCCAGGAGTCCGCGGATGCGGCTGAACCTGAGCTCGCCATGGTGCTGCCTCCCAAAGCAAATGTTGTGGGCGCGAAAATCTCGAATGCTTTATGCTGATAGATACATTAGAAGCTCCTAGAAGCTGGAGGTGACGGTTGGCGGTTGGATGCGGGGGGAGGGTAAATAGGGATGCTGGAAAGTTTCAAGATGGTATGCAGCGCGGGCGACGCCTATCCAGACTGCAAGGATGTACTAAGACAGCCGAGGGGTCGGGTATGCGTATGCAGATTACGAAACTAGCGCGAGCAGCCAAAGGGCAGAGTCACAGAAAATTCCGAGATATTTGCAACTTGATCTTGTTGCCGCTGCGAAGCAGTGGCAGCACGTTTGCCCCAAAGGGGGAAATTTGCGAATTGGTGCTGGCGCCGCATTAGGACAAGATCTGCTGAGCATGGGGTGCCCGGGCGTTGCACGCTTGCGGGTCATGGGGCCCATGGACGGTGGTCTGGATGACAACGCGCCTCCACAGGCCCCATTTTCGCAGATCGGCAGAGCGACGGGTGGATCTAAGCTCCCAGGTTATCAAGGAGCCACGGAAACCATCTGACTAATGATAGACTACTACTAATGGTACTAATGGTAGATAGACTACCCGCCACAGAATACCATGAAACTATGTCGACGTGTTGATGAGGATTGTCAAATTACCACCAAAGCATAAATGAGAGAGGCGCGGTTGAGCTGGATCGTTCAGCGGGCCTCCAAAACTGGCAGGCGCTCCTTTGGACCGTCTCCGTCAAATGCTAGTCCATTACACTTCAATTCTGGAAACGAATCACCAGCCGTCTACACACTTGTTCCACCTCATGGATGCCACCCAAAAGGCCCTTCACAGGCACTTCAGCTGGTTCCCTCCTGGCCGCTTCCCGACGCCTCGACGACAAACCAACCGGAAGACCTGCCAGGTTCTCACGATTTCTAGTCGCGATTAAATCGTGCAGAGTTGGCGAAGATGTCATTTTGTCAATGTACCGCGTATCGAAAAAGGAACCGTATTCGTTCATCGTATGGGCGGAGGCGGTAGCGCAGCGCCACACGATTTGGCGCATCTTCCACTGACACGCCACCCTCGACTCTGTCAGCGCACGTTGTCGCCCGCGAAAAGCAGGGGCCCCTATGCCCCCCCGCAGGCCAAAAAATCCATCAGTGCACGCATTCAAATGGATTCAATCCAACCCAAAGGATCCAAATGAACACAAATATATCGAAGCGTACCTAAGCGAATCCAGAAAGGATCCAGCGGATCCAGGAAAGACGTGAATGCACCATAAAAAGTGCACAAATGGATCCCAGAAGCGTCCAAACGGGTAGGAACGCGTCTAAACGGACCCAAAATCCGTCCAAACGGAAACAAAAAGGATCCAACTCGGCCCCCCCGGAGCTCATCGCCTGTCGTCGTCATCCCCGTCGTCATCATCATCATCATCATCGTCGCCACGCCGCCTGTCCACGCACCGCCAGCCGTCATAATCGAATCCCGGCAGCACGCCGTTGCAGATGGTCTTGTCGCCGGCCTGCAGGCAGTTGTTGCAGCACGGCGGGCACGCAGGCGGCTTCAGCGCGCAGCTTCCGTCCAGGTACTCCCAGCCCGGCTGGGTGCCGGCGCACTCGCCGCTGGCGGCGTCGCAGGCCAGGCAGCAGTCCGGGCAGCGGAACACGCACTGGCCGTCCTCCCACGTCCAGTGGCGGTAGAACCACTTGCACACCTGGTGGCAGCCGCGGTCGTCATGAAGTCTGCAAGAATGTCTATAAAGACGTCTAACGAGAATGCAAATGTCTTTTAGGAATGCAAATGTCTTTGCTTGCGATCATCAGCAACTTATGGAATGCTGTGAAGTCTTGATGAATTTTGGACAAAATTACTACAACAGCAATTGCTCATCATCGTTGCTGACTTCGTGGGATGCACACAAGCGGATGAAAATCATATGAATGCGCACTTCTTTGAGGACTGACTTACATTAGTCACAAGCAGCACATCTGATACTGCCACAGGAACAAAGCAATTCTGGCTATTAATCACGTCGCTGGCTGACACTGTTTACGTTCTTCTTTAACCACATGTCGCACAAGTAATGCGCTCTCATCGGTGCATCGATACTGCAAACGCCTACAAAGATAGACTCGCCTGCACACGGCACCGACCTGTGCGATGCCAACTGCGATGCTGTTTGACACGAAGTTGATCCCGTCGCAGTGATTGCCATGGGATAAAAGCAGCTGCGATGGCATCAATTTGTATCAAATGGCGTCGCAATTGGCATCGCAAACAGGCTGTTTTCTACTGGTGATGGCTGAAGCTTCGTCGATTCATGAAAAACTTCAACAACATCAGCTAACTCATGACCACGTCTCAAGCGCCAATGGAATAGGACCAATAGTATTACAACGAATACAAATATGGATGCGCATATTACTGCCTGTACTAATACGAACGGCAGCAATGACAAATGGCTCAGCGCATGAACGCGGCTCAAATGCCGGCACAGGTCTTGGCAATCTGTGCCCAGCTGCCCACGGGGCAAAAAGACAGCTGTTGTAGGTATACACGCCCATCACAGCCTACAAGGCACCACTTCCTCTTGTACTGTCAAAGGCAATCCTATCCGACGTCTTACAGAAACCTATTATTTCTAGATGTGAAGAAAACAAAGGGATAATGTAGTTAATGGAGACAATGAAAGTAACAAAGGCCCTAAAATAGGAAACCAAAGCAGCCGAAATCTGGAATGGCTTTTATGACCATCGTGGCCTTCACGTCTGTCAGTGGACGGAATCGGAATTCTGCGTTCCTAAACCACAAGTATTGCGACGATATGCTCAGATGTTCTGCATGGTATGATGAAGTGATGAGACATTATGTACAAATGTGTGGATAGACAGGACGTTACGTACAGACTAGCATTTTTGGACAGATTGGGCAGAACCGCTGCATGTCCTTGGACGACCTGCTGGTGCTGAGATTGTAACCTTGCTTTGCCCGCTGTGCACGGTTATGTTTGTGCACAGTAGTTAACATAAACAAAGGACGCCGGCCAGCGGCCCACCTTGTTTCCGTCCTCACACTCCCCACAGCACGCCGGGCAGTCCACCTTCTCCTCACATTCTAGCCCGTTCACCAGCTGCCATGCTTCCTTCACCCACTTGCACCCGTGTCCCTCGTAGTCACATTCCCCACAGCAGTGTGGGCACTCGAACGCGCAGTCGCCCCCCTCATATTTCCACCCAGCCTTGATGTACTTGCACGTCCGCCCCTCGTAGTCGCAGTCTCCACAGCAGTGCGGGCACTCAAACCTGCACTTCCCGTCCTCGTACACCCAGTACTGCTTGAACTCGTCACACTTCGAGTTCTCATGGTCACACTTGGAGCAGCACAGCGGGCAGGCCCACTGCTCCTTTTCCGGCTCCGGCGCCTTTTCCGGCTCTTTCTCCGGTTCAGGCGCCTTTTCCGGTTGCTGTTCTGGTTCCTTTTCCGGGGGTGACTCATATGCGGTGCAAGACACCCCGTCCAGGTAGAAGCCCTCCTTGGCCTCCGCGCATTTAAAATTATGGTAGTCGCATTTCTGGCAGCAGGAAGGACACTCGAAAACGCACTTCTGTTCCTTCCAGTACCACAGCTCCTTGAAGTACTTGCAGAAGTGGTTGTCGTGGTCGCACTCCGAGCAGCAGTGCGGGCACACGAAGGTGCACTGCCCACCGCGCATGTACCAGTAGTCCTTCAGCTTCGTGCACTCGCAGCTGTCGTAGTCGAAGTCGATGCAGCAGTCGGGCTTGTCTGTGGCCGGGGCGGGTCAGGGGTGAGTGTGTAAGAAAATTGCCAGGACTAACGTTAGTAAATGCAACAAATCAGTAGGGCATATGCGTGCTTTCAAAATTTCGAATTGAAAGCGCAACAAAGCAGTGAGACATCTGCGTGTTTTCAAATTTCCAGCGCTACATAAGCAGTAGACTTGATAAATTGGAAAACTGTGCTCAGCTGCCATGTTTCGAGCGCTAGCATGGGCTCTTGGTCTGGGTTTCTTTTCTCAGTTACGTGCAGCCGACAGACGCTGAAAACATACTCCAACTAGGAATATGCACACCTGCATTGCGCACCACACATACTAGCGTAGTATGAGAATGCTTCAATCCTGTCTTTCAGTCAACATCTCCTTCAGGGATGCGCGCAGTCGCGAATGTTCATGAGTTATAATTGTATGTGTATCACTCATCTTCATTCAATAGTCACTGGTCGGGCTCGGCCAAGGTGGCTCAACAGGACGTCTTTGCCCATAAGAATCACACTCACCGCACAGCAACCTTCTTAGCTTGGCGTTGTCTAAATCTGCAAATGGAAGGGCACAATCCATTAGCATAGTCAATTCAAAATCGCCAAAAGAGATTGCGATGCCATTTCGCATCAATTGATGCAAACACAGTTGCTTTCAATGCATCGCAATCGCTGCGATAGCGCCACATGGAGCCAACATGACTTGCAAATTGCCATCGCTGAACCGGTGTCTCCCGCTAGTGCACGCCGCTCGAGGCTTGCAGTTAAACTTGGAGACCTGCCTTCAGAATTCCAATTCAAAAAGTTGCCGGCTTCCTGTGGGAAGCTGGAAATGGCATCACCGGCGAGCGTGTGACCACCCATGTCATTGTTGCAAGGGGGTGGCAGAATTCCATAATCCGCTTAGATAACTTTACCATTAGACAATAACTCACAACAATCTGCAGCGCTGAAGGCCAAAGCTCTCTTTCGGGCGGTGTGCTAAGAGATCCTTTCGCGTGTGGCAATAAGGGTTACCGCAGGGGCGCTTCGACTGACCAATCTGCGCTCATGCAGATCGAGCAAAAACTACCCACTCATGCACATGAATCCACGCCAATCAAGTCCGCATTGCACGCCGCACCCGCCCGCCAGAACGTCCAACGCAACGAAAAATCTTCCGCGCGAGCATACAGGGCGCCCATGGAGGGTGAGAACTCCGAGGCTGAAGCACTGATCCCCAAATTCATAGCGCCTAGAGCTCTTTCGCGCCTCGCGGTTCCACGACCGCGGCGCCGTGCTCAACAGTGACCAACGCGGGGGCGTCCCCGGCAATGGCGACATTGACGGCAAGAGGGACAGAGGAAAGTCTGAAAGTATCTATGAGGATTCGCAAGCCGCGGTGGCCCCATTCTCTCTGGGCGTCGCGAAAAGGCTCCGGCAGGCAGGGCAACAAACATGCAGCACAATTCGCAGCACGCGGGTGTCCCCGGCGGCGCATGTGTTGACAACAAACGGCAAGGGAAAATCTTCAAGCACATCGGAGAGTGTGGACCCTGCCGTCGCCCCTTTTCTGTGGGTATCAAGAAAGGCTCCGGTAGCCTGCACGCTCAACAATTAGCTCACGCGTTCGGGCAGCGCCGGCATTGACTCCAGAGCTTTGGAGTGCCTCTGGAGTGCCCTCGAAGGCGAGCATGCAGGCATCTCGGAAACTTTTCAAGTCGCAGCCGGCCCCACTCGCCGGGCACCGCGAGGGCGCCCCCGCGGCAACTGCCAGGAGGCGCGGCGACGTTGCGCGGCACACCGCGAATCCGCGCAGGCCGCCGCGGCCGATCCGCCTCGTCATTCGGCGCGATTTGCAAATCACGGCCCATGCTCTCGAAGTGCGCCGCCCAGGGGCCGCTGGGCGGTTCACCACGGGCCAGCTAGGGGAACCGGCTGGCGGGTGGCGCACACGAGAGCGCGGGAGTGGCTCGGGGCATCCTGGTCTCAGCTCACCTGTTGAGGGACGGACGTCGAGCAAGCTGGCGTCCGCCAGGGCGACGGCCAGCATCAGCGCCAGGGGCGCCATCCGCACGGGGGTGATGCCCATGGTGCTGCGAAAGATCGCGGCGGTGGCGCTCGGGCGGCCGTCGCCTTGCCCCTCCTCCCCTCCTCCCCGGCGGAGTTCCTCGTTTGGGGTGGGCAGGGGTAGGGGCGATGTAAATGTGACAACATTCGAATGAGGGCGAGCGACGTGAGAGGTCCCATCGACATGGACTGGGTCTTGGGCGCCACATCGTGGATTTCGGCTGGACCGTCGCGGGTTTCCGTGGGCCCGTCGTGGCGGCGGCCTGCCGTGGGGAAAGATGACGGCGCGTTTGGGATCTCCGACTCATGTTCGAGGGAAAGGGGTTGGAAGTTTGGTAGTGGATGCGACTGAGAACTGTCGAATTCGGGGTTGTCAGCGTGCATGTGGCGAGGAGTCTGTTCCCTGCCGCTGGTGATTCTCAGAAATTGCGGAACTTGCTCACTGGTGGAGCCTGTGGCGCGAACGCGCGCCGGTGATTGATACTCTCTTGAAGATTTTTTGGGGAAAAGGTTTGAGCACAGCGGGATAAGGTGGTCACAAGAATGTGGGGAATTTGGGCCCTGACACGAGCAGATGGGAATGATTTTGAAGTGGCTGTGCTATGTGGTGCATGCTAATGTAATCAAGATCCACATCGATCTGTTGATATCGGTTGACATCAACCCCAAATCGAACAAGGAATTGTTGAAGTATAGCATAATGAATCGCGGTCGATTTCATCTATGCTCTGTTCATACTTCATTTCTGCTGCGTGGGCTTCGTCCAAGAGTTGATTTGATGGCTGAAGGATTGTCGGGTCGGCCAGCTGTCATTGGCAACGGCGTTGGATGATCTGGCGGAAGGACAGCTGTGGGTTGAATCAAGAGTAGTGACAGCTGTTATGCTCGAAAGGAACATTGGATTATGTGATGGAAGTGTGGCTGTCGGGTTGATTCATGAGTGGACTGACAGCTGGAATGTGTGAAACGATTGATGGGAGTGTACGATGTGTGGTTTGGCGTACAAAAGTTGGACATGGCGACTTTGTAACAGATCCTTGTTGGCGATGGGTTCCGTGCTCCGGGTGCCGCAAGGCCGCGTTCCAAACCGCCTGGCAAATCGCAGGCCCCCGACACCGAAGGCGTGGCTTCCGTGAGGCTGCGCGGCAGGGGATAGCTACTAGCAAGCGTGCGGACGCGGGCCCCGAACGTGGGGCATCTCCAGACGCCGGCGCCTTACTAAGGCGCGCGGTGAAGGGTCGACACGCCCCGTGAGGGCTGTGCGATCGCGGGCGGAGGACCCCGTGCGCCGGCGAGGGCGTTGGCGCGACGTGGGCTGACAGGGAGCGACGGGAGGCGAAAGGGAGGGCGCATTACGTGGTGCGTCGAAGGAATCGCGAACCGTGGACGGGACTGCTGCAAGGCGGAGGTACTGCGGGTTCCGGCAGCGAGCGCGGGCTGCGAACGAAGGCCGAAGGGGGGCGATTTGCGGTCGCCGCTTCTCTGGCTGACTCCGGAGGGGAATTGCCCGTCATTCTGCGCATGATGAGGCGTTCCTTCAACAGAATCCGAATCTGGTGACGAATGGGCTAATTGAGTTGATCTTGCGAATTTGCAGCGAGATTGGATAATAGGCCCTACTTTCGAAACAGAAGTAATCTGTAAAAGTGTCACAAGTATAGCCGCTTCTCTGTGTTTGCGTTTCTATGCGTAAAAACGCAACCGCAAAAACGCAAAACGCAAGTAACAGACCTGCCACAAAGTGCACTCAATATCGCAAACACACAAGGCAGCCTTTTCCCTTGTGCGCTCCATTTCCTGGCCGCCACTTGTCACTGTTGTGCTCGCTGTATGCCGTAGTATGCTCAACCCTTCCGCACGGTGACCGACGCCGACTCTAAACTCACGAGGTACGGCGCAGTAGAGACGAGAGTTAAGCGCAAGTTGGGTGCCTGCCGCTGCCAACCTGAGTGGCCCTGGGTCGCTCACGCGATACTCCAAAATCAGGATTATATGGAACGTATGACATACAGCTTTGTAAGTCTCCGAAACACTGTGCAGCAATGTCCAGTCATCGCTTCCAGATAGTGGTATCTGTGTAGAGAGGCTTTCTCTGAAAACCTTGCTGAGCCAACGTCAACATCTAGCAGAAGTTGCGACAAATTGCACTAGCAGAGTATACAACTTGTGCGATGCCAATTGCGATAACTTTTCAGCACTAGGTGGCACCGTCGCGGCGAAGGCACAAAAGTAGCTGCGATGGCAACAAATACTATCACATGGCATCGAAATTGGCATCGCCCAATGTATTCTCCTGCTGGCGTTGCTTTCTGGGATTCTCAGATCCTTAGAGGTTCACTTTTGTCTCGTTCCGTACGCCACCCAGTTTCACCAGTCGTCAATGCCTTCATCATTCCTGTACACGTCATTCATTCACAGCAACCACTATGCACACGACAGCAACCATACAATACATATGGTACACACCGCACATAAAGTACAGTGCGTGCGTCCTGGACATGTGGTGATTCTGTGGCGTGACTCTTGTGAGAAGAGCATTTAACACACCGCTGGCTTCGCAAACCCCTGTACATTTGGATGCAATATCTGAGTGACCACAAGCCCAGCACGTACTGCAGGCTCTCCAGTACAGTGCCATTGCTGATCTTTGGGCCCACGGCTCCCCGGGATCCATTTTTCAGAAGGCGAATCGCCACCAAGCGCACAGCAGCAAAAGTATTGGACACGTGTTGATCCCATGTGGTGAGTCCTTGAGGGGAATTTCATACACTGAGCGCCTGCTTTGCAAACCGCTGCGTTTTTACGCAACATCTCACTGATGGCAGCTCCAAAACGTAGTGCAAGGGCTCCACTACAGTACCACCGCCCGTCTTTGGGCCCATGGCTCCCCGCGCTCCACATTCCTGAAATCAATTCGCCACCGAGCGCATAGCTGCAAAGGTACTGGACACGCGTTGATCCCATCCTGTGGCTCCCGGGATCGCAATCTTAAATGGGCGCTGGCTTCCCCACCCCACCCCCTCATGTCGATGCAACATCCGACTGATCGCAGCTTGAAAACGTAGTGCAAGCGCTCCACTACAGCACCGCCGCCCACTTTTTCCGCCCAGTCTACACGTCACCTTCATCTCCCACTGGCACGTCACATCGCCCATGGGATCGCCGGCCCCTCCTGCTGCCATGCATGGCCCGCGAATCGCCACGGCTCCCAGTCACTCCACAGGGGGGGCAAAGCCCGAAAGGGAAACTACAGCAAGGGCCACTAGGCGGCCGCCGTGAACCGGAGGCTGGCCGCTACTCCCCTTAGAAAACAGAGGGGAGAGGAAAGAGGAGGGGGTGGCAACAGGGCCGCACCGCTCGAGCTCTGGGGAGCCATGGGGATACCTCGGAGTTTGATTTTGGCGGCCTGTTGGGCCGGCCTGCTGGCGGTGGCCGCGCGGGGCTCGCCCATCGGGAAAGAACTGCCCGCAGGTGAGAGGGTGCGGCGGGCGGCGGGCGCGATCGCGGAGTGTCCCTGACGACAGCGCTGGCGGATTTGCGTAAACGGCGCTTGAGCAAGGCGGCGAAGGCGTGTCCCGCGCCAAGGCAGCCCGCTCGTCACGCGGAGGCGCTGCCTGTCGAGGGAAGCAATTTGAGAACATGAGGAAAAGCAATGGGCTTGCCTGGGCAGGGAGTTGCGCGAAACGACAGCGCGTTCGGCCTGGAAAGTCAGCAGCGAATTCGCTGATTGGATTTGGAGCGGGCTGCGGCCCCGTGCGCCGATGTGGCGACGGCGGGTCAGAAGTGTGAGTTGGGTTGGGTCGCATGGGTGAGGTTTGTTGCAAAGTGAACGGGCAGCGGGGCACACAAAGGGCAACACCTCCCGAGGCTGTGCAGGGTGGGTGCGGGAGGGACGGCGCCGCGTTGTGGTGGCGGTCAGTGGCCATGGGGCGTCCGCCATGGTGTCGCTAGGCCCATGCCGTGGTCGTGGTCGGCGGCGCCGTGCCGAAGAAGGGGAAGATGGGGGGTGGGGTGGGGGTGGGGGCGGAAAACGCGAGGGGGGGTGTTCGTGGAACGGGGCGCATTGCTCCGATTTCGGGGCGCAAGGAGGTCTCGCGGCGGGTGGCCTTAGTTCCGGAGGGGGGCGCCGGGGCTGAAATGGAACGTGGGAAGTTTCGTAACTTCGGTGCAATTTCGGTGAGAGCGGTGTTGCGTGTCCTTGGGGCGGTGTCGGACGCCCCGTGCCTGTCCCGATGGCTGCGTGGCTCTCGACATGAACCGGATGCGCAATATTTGGGGGCCGAGCTGAATCTCGGCGGCAGCAGTGTGTGCTCCCGCTGTCCAAGGAGTCTCCGCGTTGCGTGGCCGTTTGGAACGCCAAGGGCATTGCGCAGTGTCGTGCGTGTTGAATATGCTCCCGTCTGAGAGTCGTGTCGGGATTCCCGCTGCTGGGGTACCGCACCTTGGGGCTTTCGCGACTTCTGACCCATTGATTGCCAAGGCGGGCGTCAAGCCAGTTCGGGTGCTGGAACTCGTGCTGATATTTATCGAGGGACGGAAGTGGCGCTTCAGCTGTTGAAAGTGCAGGGCGTGGGAGAGTGGGGTTGCTGAAGAAGGGTCTATGTTGCCTATCATGGAGCCGCGGACTGTTCTGAACTAGCGGAACGTTTTCGGTCGACAGGACTCTCCATCTCACACTCGCAGCATCGTTTCTTAGTTTACTTCTTGCCAGAAGTGTTCTTTGCAATAATACGCTGGTGTTTGACAAGGGGTGTGCCAGACCAACAAAGTAGGGCTTGAAATTTGCGTTCCCCACGCCAACGCAATTGCTGTCGAATTTACTTGAAACAGAGCTCGATGGCGCATTAGGCTGGGAGAAGGGTTGTGCACAGCCTCTCACCACTGGGTGATTGTCATTCCCCATAACTGAGCATTATCGGATAATTGCACTAACTCAAAGAATTGAAAGCCGCAAACTGCTTCTGTGTAGCAATGCCTGAAATTGCAGGAAGTCAGTCTGCCTTGTGCTTATGTGTGTCCTGTGTACTGCAGGTGTGGCACAGGTGGAAGAATTTCAGAGCAGAAGATTGCTGTGCTGTAAGTCGCACCCTTGACGGCTGATCTTGCCTTCAGTTCGTGAATCCGTCAGCCACCATTAACGTCTTCATTATTGCGCAAGGCGTAGTTGCACTAATGCGATGCTGAATATTGGCAATGCAGCATGGGCATAAAACTTCCACCGAAATTTGACCGAATTTCGTCATCGCAAATTTGTCTCTTGGTTTCATTGCTAGTCGCCGCGACCAATGAAACCGACATGCCATCACAATAGAACACATCGCCATCTGGTTAACGCAACGCATTCGCCGGCCACAAGTTCCTCAAACCAAAGATGATAATGTCTTCAGAATATCCGAGCTGGTGAAATGGATGCATGACGACAAATTTCCTAGCATACAGGCATGGGGCTGTTCCAGCGAGGCTCCCGCTGAAGCCTCAAGGAAATGGGCGCTTTTATGTCTCTTTGCTGTCTTGACCCTTCCGATTCTGTGATTCGACAGCTTTCGAACTCCATTGCATATTGACGATCAATATGCGATGAATGTGTCAGCTGTGCTGTGACGTTGCAGACAGCCTATGGTTTTGTGAAACACGGAAACGATGTGCTAGGCTGTCGCTTTAGCTGTGCTGCCACGAAGAAGGACTGAAAATCTCAACTTGAAGCAATCCAGCTGTGCGCTCAAGCTTTAGAACACGTGTGCACCGTGATTGGACAGGTCAGGACAAAGAAATTGCATCCCGTGTTTTGCTCGCGTGTAGGCCATATTGTGGTACATCAGTTTCGTTCATTCGACTTCCCAGGCAATGGGGCACACTGACGACGACATACATGTTTGTTGAAAGAATTAGGTTGAAAGAATAACGCCGACCTGCCTGGCAAGTTGTTACTGTCGTTTGCAAAATAGCTGCCCTGTACTCATCATCAAGAAGTTTACAGAGATTTGGCCTCATTTTAAAGAAGTTTCTAGAAGCTTCGCCATTCTGGCACGTACCGAAGCTGCGTCTCGGCCCTGAACTCGAATGAGATCGCCTTGGCCGATGCATTCATGACTGTGGTGTGCTTTTGGGCAGCCGCCGCAGCGCAGCCTAAGTGCTGCGAGGAGTTCAACTCGCACAAATGCGAGTGCGACAAGGTGAAGAAGGACTGGGCCATCGTCAAGGGCAAGTGCGAGTACAAGTGCCCCAGCTGCTGCACGAAGTGCGACAAGAAGAAGGGCGTCTGCAAGGAGTACAAGGACTTCTGGGTGTGGAAGGGGGACAAGTGCGTCTTCGAGTGCCCGGAGTGCTGCGCCAGGTGCGACTACAAAAAGTTCACGTGCACGCAGTACAAGAAGGGGTGGAGCTACAAGAAGGGGGCCTGCCACAATCCCAAGGCCAAGGCGCAGAAATCCGGCAAAAAGACGAATTTTAAATGCCCAAAGTGCTGCGAGAAGTGTGGGAAGAACAAGTGCGAAGAGTTCAAGTCGGGGTGGCAGCTCACCAATGGAAAGTGTGCCCCCGCGGTGGTGGCAGCCAGCGCCGCCACGCCTAGTGGCGCCGGGGAGCCGAACGCCTTCGTTGGCCCAGACGGGCAGTTCATATGCCCAGACTGCTGCAAGGACTGCGGCAACGGCTACTGCAAGGAGTTCAAGGAGGGGTGGAGGATACGGGACGCCAAGTGCGCCAAGATCACCACGACGGCGGCATCCCCGGCAGAGTCCTCTGGATCGAAAACGCTGCCGCCCGCGGTGATTCCCCCCAAGTTCGTTTGCCCCATTTGCTGTGCCGAGTGCGGCCAGACCGCGTGCAACAAGTACAAGGACGGCTGGAGCTTCGAGGACGGCAAGTGCAAGGGCTCGGATTGGAAGTGCCCACACTGCTGCGCTGAGTGCGGCGAGGGTTACTGCAAGAGGTTCAAGGATTTCTGGTCCACCGCCAGCGGGGAGTGCAAGTTTGAATGCCCCAGCTGCTGCGGGGAGTGCGACTACAGCGAGTACAAGTGCAAGTGGTACCACCAGTGGTGGGAGTGGAAGGACGGGCAGTGCAAGTACAACTGCCAGACGCAGTGCTGCTCGGAGTGCGACTACACCAACGGGAGGTGCAACAAGCTGAAGGACGGCTGGGACATGGTCGAGGGGAAGTGCGCGGAGAAGAAGAAGTGCCCGGACTGCTGCGGGAAGTGCGACGGCAGCGGTAACTGCGAGTGGACGTATGAGTACTGGGATCTGCGGGGAGACCAGTGCGTCTTCAACTGCCCCAAGTGCTGCCGCTGCGACAGCAACAACAACTGCGCGCAGGTGAGCCCGTTGGGTCCATGCGCAATGATAACGTTCCAGTTTCTGTTTTGGTCCATGCTTCCTTTGAACTAATCGATTGAGCGAAATTCTTCTTCTAATAGTAAAAATTTACTATTAGAAGAAGAATTGCATTCAATCTATTAATGATTTAGGAATTTTCACCTCCCTGGAGCATTTTCCGCTCCTTCGTACAATGGAATGTTGTGTTAGCAAGGAAACAATACCGTCTCCGCATGGGTGCATATGGCTAGACGGCCATGTATGGACTGTCCTTTCGGACTGCCATGTCTGCGCATGGGTAACGCAAGGGAAATGGAAGGCGAAGGATGCATAAATTGGATATTTAGTATCCGCCAGCTACTGCTCTTTCCCGAGCCATCTATGGAACAGGGTTCCAGTGGTTCGTGCGCAACCTATGTTTATACCGAGCTTATCAGCAACTTTTCCAAGGAATTCATTTTTAACATATAGAAGGGCTAACTGTTGTAAGGATGGCAGAGCGCTCGCACTGTGCTTTATTTTGGTACGTAGATGATCGTGTGCTGTACTACCTAGTGCTGCAAGCAATACTTGCAGCACCCACTGTATTCTGTGATGCCATTGTACTGATGTAATGACACGAATACATAACGATGTGATTATATGACTATAATTACATCATTATCCACTGTATACAATGACACCACACAATAGTGGAAAATCATAAACTGGTTTTCTCTGCCTCTTATCCGGCTCTTTCAGTGTGCAAAGGCCCATGCACAGGTAGTGCCCTCGACCGAGGGGCATCTTGTGAAAGCAAACGCAATGACATGGCGTTCAGTTGACGATGCCGAAATGCCGCTCACGTGAGAACCAAACCCGTGCCCAGGTCTCCACGGGCTGGGACTTTATCGACAACAAGTGCGTGGAGAAGAAGACCTGCCCGCACTGCTGCGGCGAATGCGACGGCTCCGGCAACTGCAGGTACCCACACAAACGCAAGTTTGATGTGTTTTGATTTCTGATCATCTCTTTTTCCTCACTGCTGATTGCTTATTGCCAGGCTTGGTTTTTGCGTTTGCGTCTATGCTTTTACGCCAATAGCACAAATTCGCGATGGGGACTATTTTTGCGTTGATTTTGTACGGTTTTGCGGCTCGTTGGGACACCCAGGTTACGCGATGAAAGTCGCGTACAATGATCAGTCCTTCGCCATCTCCAGCACCCGCAACACAGTGTCCACCTGGCCCTCGACAAGGCCAAGGACGGCATGCAATGAAAGTTCGTTTTCAACCCATTCCAGCGCTTCTGACTGCCACTCCCTGGACTCCCCAAGTCTGTATGTCTGTCCTGATGTACACGGGGCTGTGTTTACGTTGTATTTACGTATTTTTACACGCTGTTGCGCGCAAGAACGTCAAAATAATTTTTACGGGTAGAAACTATTTTTAAACGTATAAACGTAAGCGCGATCGGTTCTTTCCGGCGTAAAAATACAAGCCTGGTTATTGCTCATGCTGAATATTTCATTTTTCTTATTGCGGATTGCTTATGCTTATTGCTTATCTGCCAGAAACCCCCCGTCTTTCTTCAGACCGAGTGTTCTTTTGGATTGGAACAAGCCCGGGGGCTTGGAGCACATTTTCAGGACAATTTAGCGCAACCAAGTACTGTAAAGTACTGAACCTTATACCGCTTTTCACAAAAACAGATTTCTTGCATCGCCTTGCACTCTCTCGCCAGATGCCGCCAGGCCCACATTTCTTGCGACTGTACGGGGGAGGCACCTGCAAGCTCAAATCGCCATCAGAAAGACGACGCTTTTGCGGTGCCAACTGCGACGCCCTTCGACATTGATTGACGCCATTGCGCGCGCTTTGATGCCATCACAGTCACTGTGATGGCGCCACTTAGTGATAAAGTAGCATCGCTGCTGGCGTCTCATACATGGCGATTTTGGCAGCGAATGTGGCGCAATGTTTTGGAATCTAAAGAAAGGAAAACGATTGCAGGTACCCCAAGGACGGCTGGTCCATCGAGGGCGGCAACTGCGTCGTCAAGCGCCAGTGCCTGCACTGCTGCGAGCGGTGCGACGGGAACGGCAACTGCAACAGGGTCAAGGACGGCTGGCGCGTGGAGAGCGGGCGCTGCGTCCAGTCCAACACCTTCAGCTCCAAAACCGCCCTGGGGTCCTGCCCGGAGTGCTGCGGGGAGTGCTCCTTCCCGGGGGGCCGGCCCAAGTGCAACTGGGTGTACGAGGGCTGGTACCTGCAAGGGGGCGTGTGCACTTTCAGCAGGGGGGGACCTCCGCCCCCCCCTCCCCCTCCATCCCCCAGCGACTTTGAGCAGATTGCCGACGTCGTGGGCCTGGGCATCGACCTATTCAATGAGTTCCAGAACAGGGGCGGAGGGGGTGGTGGCGGCGGCGGCGGAGGCGGGGATGACTAACCCCCTGAACGCGTCGTCTGATCGTCAGAATACCATCATGGTGCGGTTCCGGGGTGTAATTTGTTGTCGGCTTGGCGACGTGCGTAGCTATGGGCGGCGGCTGTGAGGTGGCGCAGGCGCACGGGCGGCTGAAATAATTAAAGTGGGAGAGTGCTGTGGAGAGGGTGGACCCGTGGCTCCTCGCGGCTAAAGCACGTGGGACAGAGGTTCCTCCAGTTTGTCGCATGCGCTGGTGGCTGCTTCACGGAAGGTTGCGCAAATTTGGCCACGTGTTGAGGGCGGCGGAAGTGAAGTCTGGGACTTTGCAGCACGTGTATCTAGGACTGTGCAGCCCCCTTGTGCCATGCATGATCGCACAACGGTGCTGCCGCGATGCCGTTTGCTGTGGCGTTGGTGTCTTTTTGTTGCTCCAGAACACGTGTAGAGGAGAGATCCACGCTGCATAAGTACGATGTAAGTTTTGCATATTTGGTGATGCAAAGTTTACGCCTTTGCAGGGCAGCGCAGTATCTGCCAATAAAATACCGGAGAGCGGTAGTAAATCTGCCCGTCACGTTTCGACCGCCTTTGCCTATGTGGATGCTATAATCCATCGGAAGCAGCCTTTTGCTGTAACTGTCGTCTGCCCTCGTTTCCCTTCCAAAGGTCGTCCTGAGGAGGCGTCTTTCTGAGCTGTGAAGAAGCCCTCACGCAGAAGTCTACAGGCGCGTTTTAATGGGACGTTCTCCCTCCTTTGTGGATACAAGAGGGCTGCATGACTGCCTCATATTTTAGAAAAAGCTACGGCCCGTGTTCAGCTGCATTCCTTGATATTTGCTTGCAGGAACGCCACGCTCAATTCATGGTGTATTATTTGCTGTCCGCGGGTCTTTCATTCGTCAAAGCGCATGGCGAACGCGGGATGAAACTTTCGTGACGTCTCAAATAAGTTTCGGGTAGATGGAGCACACATACTGCAGCACCCTGCGCTGTGGCCGGTGAATATTTCTTTTTGCGACAGTGCCAAACCACTCTTTTTTGCGACAGTGGATTGTTCTTTTTTGCGACAGTGAATATGACTAATGCACAGCTGGGGAAGGCGGCGGGCCTTCGAACCGCTTTTCGTTAAAGTCGCCGTGTACCCCTCCCACGTGACCGGTAACATCACCCGGCCCGGCAACATACGCTTCGGTGTGGCGCGTACAACCCACGCGCCCCTGCGCCCCTGTGCCCAAGTCGTCGCCCCTTGACTCGCCACAGCAAGGGGGCTACCGCCCAGAGACACAGACGTTCCCACAGGCATAAGAAGCGACAAGCGCCGCCACAGCTGCGGGTCGCCAGACTGCCAGGGGAGATGGCGCAACTTGGCGCCAAGGACGCCGGTTCAATTGCCAACTTGGCCGACTGGGGCCTTGACTCACAAGGCCTCGTCCTGCACGGTGGCCATCCGACACCAGACAGGGGGCGCTATGCCGTAGATTGGCAGCGAAGAGGGGCACGTACAAAGAAAGAGGCGGTCGCGTGAAGAGGCAACAGGGGCAAAAACCAAATGGCAAAGAGAAATTCTATCACAGAATGCCTGCGAGCGTATCCTCGTTTCGTAGGACACTGCACCAAGTCGATGAACCTTTTCGCTGAGCCCTGACCGTCTCCCAACCAGAACTGTGCGGGAAAGCCACCTCTGCTGTGATGCACCCCTATAACCGCATTGGCGACTGGATTTCGCCTTGCCCACCATTCCTACCAAAATTGGTAGATCTTAGATCGTGTTGTTTTCTGGCAAGGAGAGCCCCCATATATTTTGTCTGTGAAAGAAGCTTTCTCAAGCTTATGGCCTGTGTTATTCTGGCTGCAAGCTTCAGTGCTTTTTACGGCGTATATGTTGTGGAGGCTTTGTTCTGTCGATCGACTATTTTCCCTGTTGATCGGCGCTGTCCTTGTCCCAAGATCTTCCTTGCCAATCTTTCAGTGCGCCTTGGCTAGCATTTTCCCACTGCTTGCTCCTTTCATGATGCAGAGCTAAACTTGCGTTGGGCGCCATACTTTGCACATGGAGGGCAAGCTTGGCCATGATCGCCGGCCTATGCTGTGCCGCGCGAGATTGTGCAGTCTCGCCCTGAAGGGACGGCAGTCTGGCGACCCGCAGCTGTGGCGGCTCTTGCCGCTACTTGTGCCTGTGGGAACTTCCGTGTTTGCGGGCGATAGCCCCGTTGCTGTGGCGAGTCAAGCCGCGACGACTTGGGCACAGGCGCAAAGGTGGTACACGCCACACCGAAGCGTATGTTGCCGGGACGGGGAATGTTACCGGTCACGTGGGGGGAGTACACGGCGACCTTAACGAAACGCCTTCGAACCAGCTCGCCTACCTGCCCCCCGCCCCCCTCCACCGTCACTTGCCACCGGCCGCTAGCAGCCGCCGCGACGGCGCCGTCGCTGTTGTTCGCTGCCCGAGGGACCGTTTTCCGCTCCCTCGAACTTCACTAGTCAACGTTATGCTTGTTTGGGGTCTGGGTGACGCACAGGGCCGGGCGGCGCCAAATGAGCACTAGGGTTGCGCCAATCGCTGAAATGGCTCCAATGGCAGCCCGCCACAGGTCGTGGCTCACAGGGCGTGCCCCCACCCCGCAGCGAAACCTGGTCGTGTGACCAGTCAATGGCGCTGGGCGTGGGCGCCTTGATGGTCGATGCTTGGACGGCAATGGCGCTGGCAACCAGCGCCTTGGCCTCCCCGTCCGGCGTCACGAGCAACACTCCCCGGTCACAGTTCGCGGCGCCGTCTCCCTGCGTGGCCAAGTGGCCGCATTTCAGGGGACTAGCATGGCAAAAACAGATCTGGGGAGGAAACGGGGGGCTGCAACCTCAGCCGATTCGGCTGAATCTCAGCGCCAAGGTGATCGCCGAGTGGTAGCGGCAGCCCCCTTCCGCAAGGTGGGGACCCTGGGCGTCCCCAAACGTTCCCGTTTCGCCTTTTAGTCCTTTCTCCGAACAGACGCGCCTTCAGCGCCGTTGTGGGATGAGGCCCGGTGGACCGTGCAGGGGTGGTGTGGCAAATCTGATGCCAAAATCTCGCGCATCAATTATCGCCACTGTCGCAAAAAAGAGTAGTTTGGCACTGTCGCAGAAAAGAACAATCCACTGTCGCAAAAAAATAGTAACCGCTGTGGCCCACGTGTGCGGCTGACGAATGATATCCACCAAAGGGCGCACGGGGCAGCAAGCCGACTGCTTCGTGCATTGCATGCTGCCGTGGGTCTGGGCTTCCCATGCACTGGCTGCACTTCTGAAGGCAGTTTGTCCTCAACTTGCGGAGATCAACGCTGGCCGGCTTGCCTCTCCGCAATGCAGATGTAGGTTCCATTGCGGATCAATTCTTCCAGGCATTCGAGGCATGCTTGATTAAGATGTTTAGCACTCGATATTCTGGAGCGAGAAAACAAAGTGCAGGCTGATGGCGCGTCTCCTCCTAAGGCCTCGCCGCCGCCGGTGACGGTCCCCGATCAAGCAAAGACCGGCCCCAAGGACCGTTGCCCCTCTTTGGGCCCAGAACCAGACTGTTCGCGCCCAAACTGGGCGCCCTGCTGACAGGACACACGCGGGGCAGCAATTTTTTCGCCCGCATATCTTCGGGCCTCCTGTAAGCCAGCTTACTAAGCATAACCATCCCGTAATGGTCACACGGGGACCGCGCCCATCGGGCTCCTTAACTACCGCGCCCCGTCGACGCACCTCGTTGCCGAAAGCGAGGTCAGCCTTCAAATGCGTCGACCTCGATCAGATCAGCGGGAGTGGTCGCGGGGACAGGGGAGGAGGGCGGCGGAAGGAGTCCCAAAGAAAATCTCGCCCTCGGCTGGCGTGGGCGGGGTTGAGTCTCTGGGCCTTGGGAGGTCCACCGCGACTTAAGGTTCTGTCGGGGTGGACTGAAGATGCGGCGCTGGCGCGCGGCTCTGGTGGCAGTGGCGCTGGTCGCCGTAGCGGTGGGGGGCGCCGCCGATGCGTCGGTTGGCGAGGGCGGATTTCATGGTGAGTGGGGATTCCGCATGCTCATGGATCCGGCGCCGTGACCATGCGCCCATGGGCGATTTGCATGTGGGCGCGGTGGTGGGCGATGGCGGGGCGTTCCCACCATCTTGGCTTGGCCGGGGCTGTGGATTTGGTGGTGGGGGGTGGGGGTGGGGGCTGGAGGTGGGGTGGGTGGGGGCAGGGGTGGGGTGTAGGGAGAGCACACATCGGATGCCGTGGGCCGACTGGCGTCGGGGAGAGCGCCAACTTTGCCGCGTCCAGGAGGCAGGAGGGAACAGAGGCCTTTGCCCTGAGGCGTTTTGCGGCTTCGGGCACCCGCGTTGGGGGCCCTCGCTCCGGTAATGCTCGATGGCGATGCGGCGGCTTGAAAGAGGGCTGGGCATCGGGCGCTGGCGCGCTCGCGTTCTGCCCATCTGGCGCCAGGCGACCCGTCCAGGCGCGTGGGCAGCGAGGCCGACCGGGCCGCGTTTCTGCCAGTCTCTCTGGGGCGCCCGTGCGCACCGGCATCCCTGCAGGTTTGTCGCAATCCTCGCCGCGCCTGCTCGCATCTGGTGCCCGGGGGGACGTGCGTTCCGACGGGCGGAGGGTCCCCCGCTCAGCGTCTGGGCGCTCAACAGTTCAAAGTCTCAGCGGCGTGTGGGTCCCGTGTCCGGGGTTTGCTCGAGTGGCAGCATACGAGTCCTTGGTTCGAAAGGGTGGCATGGCGCAGGGCGGACAGCCTGTGGAGAGGGCCCTTTGCGCTCCCGGCCATTGGAGTATATCCGCACGTCAAGGGCCGCCGCCGATGCCTGGGGAGCGTGCCAGAACGCGCTCTGGTCATGGGTAGTGAATGCTAATCGCTATGTTTTTGTTCTTTGCGCTTCCCGGCTGTGGCGGCATTCCTGTATGTCAAGGCTCTGTGAGCGCGGCTCTCTGTCCCGCCTGAAAACGGCTTGGGATGCATCGACGGCAGTCAATCGCCTGCAAGGAGCAAGGGCACCATTTTCGTCCAAGGCAAACCCAAACAAAGCAAGTTTACTTTTCTGTGTTGCCGCAGGAGGGGAGGTACATGAACCCAAAGGGTTGGCAAGTCTGCCACACCTAGCAAGGGCGCTGCTCCAGGGTACCGGGTCCGTAAACCAGCAGCAGGGCGGGACGAACTACTACTCTCAGGGGGGCGCCAGCGGGGCTACCTACGGCGATGGACCTGCGACTTCCTACCAGGCCAGGCCGTACACAGGCCAGCCTGCCAACTACGGCACGGCACAGAGGAACTATCCGGCAACAACCGGGGCTTACAACCCAGTGAACGGAGGCTACAATGCGGCAGCGGGGGCCTACAATGCCGCGCAGAGGGGTTACCCGGCAGCAGCGGGGGCCTACAACGCGGGGGGTAACACGGCAGCGGCGGGGGCTTATAGTGCGGTGCAGAGAGGTAACACAGCAGGAGCCGGGGCTTACGCTGCTGCAGGGGGGCGTGGTCCAGGCACAGGGATCCCACCAGGGAGCAGCCGGCACCCCGCACTGATCGACAGGATTCAGCAGCGCGTCAGGGAATTCCAGCCCAGCACGGGGGTGGGGGAAGCGATGCAGTCGATGGCCCAGAGCGTCGCGGACAGGGTGGTGGAGTTCTTCAACGGATTTTAATGCACCCCGATGGAATTTCGATGGACTTTATGGGCCGTGAGGATACCTTGCAGACCGTACCGGCCCTGCAGCGCTCTTCAATGGAGTTTAATGGACGTCAGTGGACATTGATGGATTTGGCTAGGGTGGGTTGGGGTGGAAATCTTGCGGACGGCATTGACCGTGCAGAGTACTTCAATGGATTTTGTTGGACTGTGTCCAGGATGGGCTTTGATGGAACCTTGCGGGGTGCACTGGCACTGCGGCTATTTATTGCATGGAAGTCCGCAAGGCTGCTGGTTCTCGTAAATAAATCCCTTGGGCGAGCCATGGCTGGGGGAGGGTGCCAGCGGTTGGAGTGCCGGACGCTTGTTAAGGATGTCTGCCGAGTTTGAGCGCGGCAGCTTTTCTGTCAACGTTCTATGCGGAAAGGCAATGGCGCTCACTGCTGGAATCTGCGCCCGGTGCCATGGCCCCGACCTGCCCGGCGAATGTTCGCATCAGCCAGGCATACGGTGGTTATTCGTGGATGGCCATCCGATCGGATAATAGTGCAGCTGAAAGAGCACGAGAAAGTCAAATGCCTTTCCCTTAGTCGGTAGCCTCAGTTGTGGGAGCTCAGCCTCAGAACGCACAGACGTGAACGCATTTTCGTCCCCGGTCTATATTTGAATATTCAAGATGTTTTCTGTGTAAGTATGCAATGTGCCGTGCTCTTGCACACTGGCTAGAGCTCGCCAGAACATTGCCTCTGATTGCTCCTCAATTGATTTGTTATTGAGCGAACTATAAATGCGTTCAAAGTTCGCTTGGAGCAGAGGCTCTCCTCGCCGGCGATGGGTCGTTGTGTCCCCTGATTTGCACAGACAATGGCATGATCATGACGCGCATTACCTTATTGTACATTCAAATGGGACATGATGCATCGCTGATGAATAGTTCAATTCCATTTCTTTCATGCACGTTCTACGCTAGAGTTGAGGTAATTGGCATGGAAGCCAATCCTGTTTTCCCTGCGTTTTCAGGTCCTTCCGCACCCAAAATTGTTGGTCATATTGCCCATCATCATCATCAAAATCCATGGATTACATTTGTCACAAAATGACAAAACACAGCCCGTGCACCTGGTAGGCGATGATGGGCGTGAAAACCAAGCAGATAGTGTGTTCAGAGTCGATTATGCATGGTCCCATATCGCCATTCTCTATTGTCCCATGAAATGCAGTGACCTGGCACGAATAATAAATCCCCGTGGATTATGTTCAGTGTATGTAGTGAAGAACAATCAATCCCAACCCTCATGCCCCATCTTTTTGTCGCACAATTATCAACCAGACAGAAAATCCGCCCTGCGCTCACTCAATTGGAAGAAAGCAGATTGGCAGATTGGCAGATTGTCCGTTTCACATGCCATGAATCTGCGAGGCGTTTGGTAGACCCCACAATTCCGTGGGACATTTCTGCACTAGTGCCACAAGGCCCTGGTGTCTTGGTGCGACTCCTAGCATATGTACGATGTGCTTGGGCTTGCGTGGGACATATTGGCCATGGTGAAGCAATACATGTAAAGCTCATCCCAAGAGGGCATCGCCAATGATCGCCATTTTTCTGGGCCCAACAAAACATGGGTGAGGGAGTCCAATGCATCATGTAACTTCAATAATCAAGAATTGAAAAACTGTAAATTCTTAGCTGCGACCGAATTCCAATTGTACCAAAACAAGTTTCCTATTTGGCAGAAGGGTGTCCTACAGAATAGGCATTGACACATGCGAAATCAAGGTGCAGATTACACACACGCACGCATTCATGCAGAGACCCACCAATTCTGAGGCAGCAACATTAGCGGAAACAATCTCCTCAAGATATGCTCGCCACAGCTGCCTGAGCTGCCATGAAACTGGAACTTCAATCCAGTACTTTGAACCACTAAACCAGGCTGCAGTGCCTCGTGCCACCCATTTCACAGATTTCTTCCGCTGCGTTTTCGCGACAAACCTGCTGCTTCCTCAGTTCGCGCTTCTGCTCGGAAGCGCACAGGGAGCCTGTGGCTTCCACTTGCCCATTTCTCCTTCAATAATGACTGAACTGTACAGATGCTAGCTCTGTGGGCTGCGTGTGCTGTTGTATTTCTTGAACAGGGCGTTTCGTGGCGCGATTGTTGCATGACGTCATGAGACACATGGCAGATGCATGGCGGGGAGGATATGGAAGCACGGTGCTTGATTGCAACACCACCATTCCTGTCCCACCATCTCGCGCTGAGCGATCGCTTCGACGTCACATCGGCCGTATCAATGTGGCCCAGGCCGCAGCAGACATAAAACCCGTAGAGGTTCCCTTGCTTTCATCGGTCGAGCCTAGGCCGTCGAGGTATCGCTTGCAATCGAGCATTCATTCTGTACACAAGCACCCTTGAATCCGCACATCGGATTCAAGAGTGCCTGTCACTGACCGCTGTGCGTCGTTCCGGAATCCAAGGCAAATTGATGGCCCCCCGTTTGCGGGGATCCGGCGCCATGCATAAGGCGAGCACTTGGGCATCCTGCTGATCCCAAACACAAGCCCTTGCGTAAGACGTCCCATGCACTGCCGCGTGGGTGCTCGGAAAGGTGGACGGGCCTCTGTCTCACCCTCGAGCCTTACTCATCGATTTGAATCCTCCTCGGAGCGCCGGGCCGCAGAACTAGAACCTTCACTTCAGTGAGCCAGGGCCGCGGTTCAATGCCTTCCCGCTGACTGTTGATGAGACGCGCGTCAGTCACACGCCACGCCGCCAGCATGATGGGCAGCAAGGCGTCCCTTTTTAGCCGTCGCCTTGCCCGACTGTTTCCCGGCAATGCGGATCAGAAACCCGAAATCCAAGTACAGCCGGTGTCAGCCCCTTCCAACGTTTGACGCACCCCACTCCCGCATGTACATCACCCCCCGCCCTCCAGAGATCGAATCGAGGGGCGGGCGGCTGTGCGGGCACGCACAGGGAGCCGCACAGAGGCAGAACAGTCCCCTGTCCCATGCACAAGTGGATGGGGGCTTGATCTTCGGAAGGGGAGGCGGGTTTGGGCTTGCCTCTTTTCTTTGAACCGGCTGGCCGTCATGGCGCATCCTCGTACGCTGCTGGTTGCCGCAGGCCTGGCGGCACTGCTGGCGGCTTGCGCACAGGGAGCATGGGCGGAGGAACGCGGATCGCGAGGTGGGCATGGGCCGGCGATTCGCATGGATTCTGCCCCTCTGATTGGCATGGATTCATGCGCCTGGGGGAGCAAGTCCAGGGGCGTTGAATTCGCGGGCGCGCATCGGACTGTGCGCTCGAGCTGGGGCGGATGCGACCTGGCGCTGCTGCGGTCCGATTATTGTCTCCATGGGACATGTTGATTGCGAGTTATTGAAAAGGGCGCGCTGTGCTCCTCTGGAGTGGCGCTTGGGGAACGCCAAGCCCCATTGCCCATGCAGGGCCACTGATTGAGTGGCCCCTTCTCTTCTGGCTCGGGGCGCGTGGGCGGGGCACCTCATGGCCGCCGCGTTCTGGCCCGCGAGTTTAGGAGTTGCTGCGCTACGATTTTTCGACACCACAGCGAAGCGCAGGCACGCCTGGTGAGGTGCCGACACCTGGTCTTCCTTCCCCCATCGTGTGGGGAGAGAAAATTGCTGGGGCTGTGCCAGGGCAACGCCGGCTGGACCGCTTTCCAAAGATCAGGCTGCGGGACGCCACTTTGTGCTGTGGACCGGTCGGTTACCCGGGAAGGCACGAAACGCCGCCATGCCGGTTCGCGCAGGGACAGTGTGTCCCGTGTTCGGCTCAGATTGCCGTTCCCTGCGCCTGGAGACATGCGGTTGATGAAATCGTGGGCGAGCAGCGATGCTCAGCGCATGGCGACCTCGCTGGCGTGCAAGGCAGCTTGAGGCATGGAAAGCCGGAGGACAGACCCTTCTTGGGCCTGTGGTGTCCTGGGCTGGGCTCATCCACTGCAAAATTGGCTTTTGCCTGCGCCCAGAAACAATCCGCTGGCGTCTGCCCACCCCAAAATGGCGCTGAATGCCCACCACCTGACTGCCACGCAATCCCGCTGAATGACAGTCGCTTGTGGTTCTGTGGCAGGACTGGGGTGGTCTCAAAACAGAAAGATGGTGGGCCTCCCCGCCCAGTCGAGGGACTTGCTCCAGTACCAGCAGGCGGGGTACAACCAGCCATACTACATGGGAGGGGCCGCCACTGGCACCGCCGCAAGGTACCCAGCCACAACGGGCTACGCTAATACGGCGGCGAGGTACCCAGCCAACACGGGCTACGCTAATACGGCGGCGAGGTACCCTGCTACACAGGCGAGGTACCCTGCCACACCGGCGAGGTACCCTGCCACACCGGCGAGGTACCCTGCCGGACCCGCTGGTTATCGTTCCCCACAGTATGGTGCTCCACCCCCTGGCTACGGGCCCACCATGATGGGCAGGCTCTTCGAGAGGATCACGGGAGTGCCGGCGGCGCAGAGGGCGCCTCTGGGGGACCGGGTCCGCAACCTCATGGGCGGCGTGAGCTCTGTCGTTAGGACCGTGGGCGACGTTCTCAATATCGTCAGCAAATTCCAAGGCTGATTCAGCGTTAGTTTTGGAATCCAACGCCAAGTTTGGTGTTGGGGAAACTAGAGCTCTGAGTCTGCCCCACTTTGAGCACGGGGCGGGCCGAAGAGACGACTTCTCGGTCTTGTGGATGCTTGCCGAACTAGAGCGGTCATCGCTGCTAAATCTGGGGAATGAGCCCCTTGGAATGAACGCGTTTGTGGGAGCATTTGTCCGTCGATGTGCCTGCCCAAGGTTGGTTGAATAACGGAAGGGGTAGATACAATCGGGAGGAAGGCCGCGGCGTGTGTTGTGGTGATTTACTTGACGCGGAAGGGCGTCGAAACTCATGCAGGGGTGTCCTTAACGCGCCCCATGCTATACCCCAGCTTGAGGGCGACAGCGTCGTCCGAGTCAGATGGTGGGGCTGCCATCGGATTATCGGAAATCGCTTGAGCCCGCATTTGTGGTGGAACTCTTTGGAGCGCTGGCCTAGCGTTGAGGGGAGGGCGCTCTTAAACATGACTGCAACCACGCTCGGCCTTCGCACTCCGTTGGGCTTGTCGCACGTGTAGCTAGGCGCGCAGCCACGCCTGTGTGCGACAGATACATAACTAACATTGCGAGCGACCATTTGATATGATTGGAACCAGCTTGTACCTTTATATGAACAGCTGGTGGAATGCGATTTATCATTATGGCGGATGTCAAATCGAAATGTAAACGGAGCTCCCTGCCGTATCGCCAAGGCTGAAGTTCCCTTGCCATGTGCCAGCAGGCATGCGCTTCAAGCTTCTAACATATTGAAATTTGAATTTGTAGGCAAGGTAGGCTGAGAGCTGAAAATCCATGTGCTTTTTCATTTGTGGAACTTTGTCGATGCCTCAATGGGTTGCAGCTGCATAGACATACAAACATGGCTTTCCTTGTGAACTAAAGATAAGATTCTGCCCAGAGCTCGGAAGACCCCCACACGAGGTATTGCAGCGGGCTTCGGCTCAAATTTCGGTAGGAATGTTCCCAGGGGGAATATCGATATCTATCCTAGGGCCATTCTGACTGAACTTATAAATTTTCGGCGATCGCCTGTTGTGTTCCGCGATGGAGTCAGGGATATTCTTGATTCTATGGCAGCGCGCAGCAAGGGATCACCAAAATGTTCTGTGTCTGATCCTCATTGTCCATGGCGCCAATTCAGGAGGCGCACGCGTAGTTGCTGATAGGTTTAGTGCATGATTACCCCGCATCTGCGCCAATGAAAAATGCATCAGTAGTATGTCGAATGCTCAGTAATCAATGAGCAAAGAGATATCTAACATCATCCCATAAGACAGCCCCACTATTTTCGTGGATTGATGCCATCGATGTAGTTCTGCAGATATTCGTTTGCATTCCAGTTTGAATGCACGCGTTTGTGGGGGCGGTCGCCCTTGTTTCATAGCTTCGTGCTCGCCTAAAAATCTCTCAAACCCTCCCGCTCAAACAGTAGTCTGAATTGCTAGCTCCACGGAAGGCGTAAGCCCAGATGATGGGAACTACACGAGGCAACATGGGGGCTTTTGAACAACCTGTACAGGCATCGATTGAAATCTCAATAGAGGTGCATCCTATCCTGTGCGCGGGGTGCGTGTACAAACGCATACAAACACAAATTTGCATTTTCGAAAACTCTACTTCGAAATATAATACAAAGACATATTATGTTTTTTGTAAGAATACTATCATCGTCCGCAAACCACATGCTATCGGCACGCTCTGTGCGTTGCTACGTTCATGCTGAATTGGCGTGCATCGACAATGTCGATTCGACAGCATTGTCGGGCTCTCGCCCCGTTCAAACGGCGCAGCTGGTTCGCTGTGCCTATTGTCCGAGCTTCGCCTCCTTCTGCACACAAGTCAGCAATTGGCTGCAGACGGATTGTGAGCTGGCGCTGTGGAGGAGAAATTGATTAATTTTTAATTGAAACTGGAAATGATTTACGGGAACTTAATAATTTATAAATGGACATGTGATGCGCATACAAGCGAGCAACACCCCGTTGCAGCAAGCACCGCCACGAAGGCGCTCAAATTGTCTCATTACGTCCACCCACAAAGGCTAAATGATTTTCACAGTTGGTGAAAAAGCTGTCGCCCTATTTTGGCGGCGAGTTTGGGCACATGCATTTAAGAAGACCTGATGGTACTTTGAGCTACGTAGTTCAAAGTATGCTTTGGCGCAACAGCACTGGCCCCCGTAGGTGAGTGACGTGGATGCCGGCGCAGCGCTCCTGATCAGGGGCGCATGAACGTGTCGTGGTCATGAAATGGCGACGCCACATGATCATGTAATGATAATGACATGCCACTAACTCCTCAGGCTCGAGAGGGATGCGACCTCCCTGGCAGGCTTGGACCCCACCCTGGCGCTCCGCCTCATATGGTCCGCATATCCTCCTACGAGCGTGTGCTGACGCTGACCATGTGCAGGCGCAGACCAAGTGCTGTCAGAGTTCATTATGGAACCTGCTGTGTCTGTGCAACATCACCTAATCGGCGGTGATGATTAGCAATTATGTCGCCGATTAATGTGCAATAGTTGAGACCAGCTGCATCACGAAGAGCCCTACGATTGTGGACCTGTCCCGCCCACCATCGGCTTGTCCAGATATGCGTTTGCCTTTTGGGAAATGGCCATATGTCCTTCAACACTCTGCTGATTTGCCACTTGGCATCACGGGTCACCAGATTCTTGACGCATGTACGCATGCGATATAATGTAAGATATAGTATCTGCATATGCTCAGATAGCTTTGTGAAACGAACAGCATGAAAACATCATGGGGAGTTGCTCACTGTCTCCAATCGCTTTGTAGTCCAGAGCTCCAGCTGTGTGCTCCGGCCCCAGCCATGTTCTGTATTCCCAGCACCGGAACACACACTTTGTCTTTGAGGGCGCACCCGGATGGCACTACCGTTGGTCACCTCGAGCACAACCTTGCCAGCAAAGTGCTGACCCTCGGGGCTCTCGACCGCTGCCAACTCCACCATATTGAATGATGAACCGACACCATTTCGGGGAACGTCGGAGCGCCGTTGGCAGCACCAGCATGGCGGAATTTCCTTTTGACCTCGTTCCACGACAACCCCACGTTTTCTGTTGCTATAGTAGCTGAAGAAGAGCTGCCGACTCTTTCAAAGGGCCGCACGGGGATCTCGTGGCTTCCATTGACTGATCGAATGGGAAGCTGCGACTGGACGCCCTCTATTTCTGGCCCCCGAAAGTGGACAACGGATCCGCACTCGTCCTGTACTCCGTGCAAGTACTAATCCGCACACTAATTCCCAGAACTCCACGATCCAGTGCGAATCGTGTATTGCAGTTTTTCGGCAACTTCGCTCGCTGTGCGCCCGGGGAGTACCGCTGACAAACAGCCGTCAACTCGCATACCGAATCTTGACAGCGATTACGTAACACGGGCCGACGAGCCAAAACCGACAGAGACCCTCGGTACAAACCCGTTTCGTTGTTGCACTGCCAACGTGGGGCACGCCCATCCCGCATCGAACATTGGCAACCAGGGCAATGTATTTCAACCGGGTCCGGAAACGACGAGGGCTGGCTGGGGAGGGGCCGCCTTTACCTGCGACGGAGCGAGGGCATCGGGACCCTTAGAGAAAAGGGAGGGTCGCGCCGTCCTGTGGGAAGGGTCAGCATGGGGCTGTCCAGAAGTCTATGGGCGGCTGCAGCCCTGGCGGCCCTCCTTGTGGGGAGGGCGGATGGCGCCTGCGTGGAGGAGTGGGAATCGGAGGGTGAGCGTGTTTTGCATGAGTCCGGACGATGCACATGGATCCGCGCCATGGAGGCCGCGATCGGCCGCGATCTGCTCATGCGCTCCAATCGGACAGTGTTGATGTCCGAGCGGCGGTTGCTTTGGTCCGCTGGCGCAGGGGATGTGGGCCCCTTGGGCGTTGGGCCACTCCGCCAGCCGTGCGCGTGGGCTTGCCTTCTACGGGCCAGGAACCGCGACCGCCAGCCTTCGTTGTATTCTGAGAACCTGGTACTGGTGCCTGGAAAGCGAAGAGCGCTTCTCCTTGGGGCCGCAAAGCAGACCGCCCGTCAACCCTTCTCCAAAAGTCAGCAATCCTCGTTCTTGTTGGTTGTTCTATACGGAGGAGCGATGCGTTGAACGACGCGTGGGATCGCACTTGCTCGATGCAGCTGCTGCGCGCCTGGCACCGCTCGGGCTTTGTCGCTTCTGCCGGGTCTACGCCCAACGGCGCACGGCGCTCATGGGAGCGGATGCCCACAGATGGCATTTTCACTGCAAGCCTCTGGCCATGCGCCCGTCTTGCTGCACTCCGGATCAAAGACCCTGTTGGCGGAATGAGCATTGTGCGCAGCGACGCCCTTCACATGGTAAAGGAGTTGTCTCAGAACTGAAAGATAGTGGGCCTCCCCGCTCAGTCGAGGGGCTTGCTCCGGCACCAGCACGCGTTCATTGTTGACAATGCCTTCGTTGTTTTGGCCTGGTCTGCGGCACGGGCCGGGCTGCGCCCGGGTCGCGATGGCTGAATGATGGGGCGACGCGGGCTGCTGGGTTGGCCTCTAGAAGGGAGGGTTGTTCCTTGCGGTCCTTGGCCATTACGGTCATACGGCTGGGTTCTCTTCCCTAATACCGACTTCAATCACTTCATGTAGTTTCCCCCTCCACCACGGGGACAGCCCAGTGGCTCGTTGCTTGTAGGCCTCCTGGAAGTCCGCAGGGGAATGCTGGCCTCCCTATCTGCCACTCCTATAACGCAACATTGATTGATTGCTTGTTTCAGGCAGTTATCAATTGATTCATTATCTTTTTCCTGATTGACTGATTGGTGAAGAAGCCCTGGTCTAGGTTCGGCAATTCTGCCCGAACTGTGCGTAGCCTGCAGGCAGCGAGGCTCGGAAATGGAGCAAATAGACACAGAATCTTTTCCCGTGTCGCACTCTGAACGCCTTCCTCTTTCTCATTGCCCCAGGGACGGCTTTGCCACCAGCCGACCAGGTCTCCCGCCTG